ACACACACACACACACACACACACACACACACGCACACACAAAGGCTCAAAGGTTTTCCCTGGAAGTGGAAGCTAATTGAATTTTTCTTCCTTGAGTTCTATACAGCAACTCTTATATGACCTGAGAGTAGATAATAAAACAGATTCACTTCAGGTTTTTGCCTTATACATGTGTGTGTGTGTATGTGTGTGTTTGCATTTCAGTGCACGTATCAGGTGTCTTCACTGTGCACTAACTTTGAGTTTTTAATGGTTGGGGAAAACACTGTTCTTCATGAAGTTATGAAACTTTAAAGTCTTGGTGAAAATGCAATACATATCATTAATTTGTGGGTGGGGCACTGGGAGGGACAGATGGAAGGATACCTTTTTTTTTTTTTTTGAGAGGTTTTTGCTATAGGGCGCGTGCGCTTGCCGGACAGAGAGAGACAGAGACAGAAATTGAGAAATCACCCCCCAGGGGGGATGGCCATGCTGCAATCCCTTCTCCTCCATTCTCCTCTCGGGATCTTGGGCACGCACACACACGTGCCCAGCATGAGTTTTAAGCCACCAGGTCCAGGACGCAAACCGCGGTCGACTATGTGGGAGTCCAGCGACATAGCCATTATGCTAACTGCTGGTCCCAGGAAGGATACCATTTTTAAATGGATGAGACGTGCGAGTTACAGAATACTTGAAAAGAAATGGCATTGGATAACATTCAGATGAAGGAAGTTCCCCTTCTGCTGAGAGCTAGCACTCACAGGATCTGTCATGGGATAGCATTAATCCACTCATGAAGCTGGTGCCTCTGTGATCCAATCACTAAATCTAATTGCCACCCACTAGCCATCATTATTAGTCATCCCAACACCATCATATGGGGATCAAATTCTAAAATGTGAACCTTTGGTGGATAAACCAATATCTAAACCATAACATCCCATTTGCTGCTAAAGACTGTGTTGAAGAGACTGCCTGAAGACTTTCTGAAGGAATTTTTCTTTAGAGAGGCTCATATTTTAGTACAGAGGTGTATTTTAGATCTGGATATACTGACCAGCTGTGTATTTCTGAGGCAGCTATAACAATCTGAAATTATTTTAAATAGTAAAGTTACTGTACTAGTGTATTAGAATTTTGTCTATATCTAAGTCAACTTTTTGCCTTCCTTCCCTCACATCTTGAACAGTTGAGGACAAGGGAGGAGTTGAGCTAGAAGCTGAATCCTAGGTTCCCAGGCAGTTTTAACAGAAATAGAGTCAGTCTACTTACCATACACTTGTTTACTGATAGTTTTGGTTGTTGCATTAGGATTTAGATGGACTTTTGGAGGATGGCTTTGTTGACATAATGCCTCTTAGGAATGCTTCCAAAGAGGCCAGCAGGTGGTATGGTAATTGAGGTCTTGGACTCCACATGACTGGCTATGATTTGAATCCCTGACCTGGTACCTTGAAAATCTAACCAGATGTGTGTGTGTGTGTGTGTGTGTGTGTGTGTGTGTGTGTGTGTGTACATGTCCAAAATCCCGAGGGGAGGATGGAGAAGTGTTGTGGCATGGCCATCCCCTCTTGGAGGTGATTTCTCACTTTCCCTCACTCTATTTCTGTCAAGTGCATGCTGGGGGAAGAAAAAAGAATGCTTCCCAAGAGTAGTAATAGTGGATATATCTCATAAATAGTGCTTACTTCATGCTGTGCATCTTTTTAGGGGCTTTGTGTTTGTGAACTCATTTAATGATCACCAGGGCCCTGTAATGTAGCAGGTACTGTTATTGTTAGCATATTGGTATAAGTGGTATTTATGTTGGCTGTTGCCTTACAGTTGAGGATATTGAGTCAGATAGGTCACATTGTGGGTGAGTGGTAGACATGTAAATCCAGATTTTGGCCAGAATTTGTGCTTTTAACCATTGTTATTATGGCTTCTGTAAATAAATAAATTAACTAATCAAGTCAAAAATAAAAAGTGGTACAAACATATTGCAAGAATTAAAATAGTGTAGACATCACATTTGCCAAATATAGTCACTGACATCTTCCAGATGTTTCCAAGCACGTCGAGATATTTGTATTTAAAAATGAAAGTGATTTCATAAATACTGTTCTGCAACTTTATTCTTAGGACATCTGGTGAATATATTTTCATTTCTATATATATATATATGTATATCTATATATATGTGTGTATATATATATATAGAGAGAGAGAGATCTTCACTATTTGTAAAAATGTTATTTTATAATTTCTTACTTACATTTAATTGCTATGCATCTTTATGGTGTACATTATGGTTTTTGAAAGCACATGTGTGTGGATCAGAATCTGATACAGAATCAAATCAAGGATATTATCATGTATATAATTTTCATTAAAAAACCTTATATTCTTTTATCCTAAATCTTTTGCCTGAGTGCCTCCCACCTGCCCCTACTATCTCTGCTTTCTACCTTCTCCATAAAATCTCTGATCTACACTTGTCTTTTCTACTATTCTATCTTTAAATCTTTTCTGCCATAGAGTACAGATATTTGGTATTTTCAAGCAGAGATATACAGTGTTTGTCTTTTATAGTCTGGTTTATGTCACTTAGCATTAAACCTTCTAAATTCATTCACTTTGCATCAAATAACAGTTTCACTATTCTTTATGACTGAGTAATATTCCATAGTGTATATGTGCCATGTTTTTTCAATCTAGTCATCAGTTATCAGGCACTTAGATTGATTCCATTTTTACAGTTGGGGCAGGTAGCCCTTTCCCTGGACTTGAGTCTGATGAGAGGGAGAGTACGTGCCTGCCTTGCCTGCCAGACAAGGGTTAATGACCAAATCCCCAGTCTTGGGCTTGGTTGGGGTGCTCTGTGTGCCCTCTGCTCCTGTCCCCTACTCTCTCTGTCTGTGGAGTCTTGGTTGTAAATGGAGCTCCACCTGCTGGTCTGCTGGCAGGACAGTGCAGCTCCCTAGCCTTCTTTGGATGTGTTAGGGTGACCTTTGCAATAGGACAGGAGGCCTTTGTTGTGAGCTGTGAAAGAATTCACAAACTCAGAGAGAAAGTGGATAGATAAGAACTTAATTCACTTTCTGATAGTGGAAGGGACAAGATGAGGAAAGTGCATTGGCCAGTTGCATCCGTGTAAAGATTGGAGGCAAGGAGCTTTTACTGGGTTTTAAGGAAAGGGGTGTGGGGGCCATGTTTGAGTAATTGGGGCAATCCATCTGTTGTCCCTGGGTTGTTTTGTTGTTATCTCTGGATGTCATGTCTGGCTGCTGTACTTAGCCATATTCTGTCCTTAGTTTTGGTGCCAACCATTGTCAGATGTTACAATATTTATGCCTAAAGGCAAGAAATTAGAAAAATATAAGGTCAGCCTTCTACAGTGAAGCCAAGAAAAGATCAAGTAACTTGGAAAGAAAAAGGTTGAAGGGGAAGGAATATCTAAAGCATTTGGGAGTTTTGGATGGGCCTTTCCAATGAAAATATCTAAGGCACCAGTGAGACACCAAGTTAACACTTTTTCATCTCTGAGGTGTTTGGGAAACATTTAACGCTTTCAAGGTGGGGGATGGGGGAGCCAATATGTTTTTCTGAGGCTGAATGCTCGTGCACTTCCCTGCAATGTTTGATTGTACCTCTGTGGGTGGTGGGGGTGTGTGGTGGTGCTGGAATCCAATAGTGGGAATCTGGGGTTCCAAATTTCAAAGGAGAATTTCTTTCATCTTCTTCCCCAGAAGGGTGGTGGCCGTAGTTCCTCCAGAGCCTCCAGCCTTGATTGTCTCTTCACAACTCTAAGCAGCAGCTATGTGAACCAGAAATTCCTGCCGACTTTTTCTTACACATTGTCAGTCCTGCCCAACTCCTCTCTCTGGGGGCAATGCGGAGGCAGATGGTCACAGCCCAGGTACCTGCCGGCTGCAAAGGTGGTGGCAACCAACTGTCCTTTCAGGCAGCAGCCAGGTTCCCTGCCATCATTTTTTAGTGGTTATGTTCCTCTGTGTTGGTATACGGTGATTTATTTAACCAGTATCCTCTTGATGGGCACGTGGGATATTCCCAGTTTCTTTTCCTGTATGTTCGCCCACTTTATAAATATTTTGTTTTTGGATGTAGTTCTAGAGAATTGTTGGGAACCAGCAGTTAGCGTAATGGCTATGTCGCTGGACTCCCACGTAGTCGACCGCGGTTCGTGTCCCTGACCCGGTGGCTTAAAACTCACGCTGGGCGCGTGTGCGTGCGTGCTCAAGATCCCGAGAGGAGAATGGAGGAGAAGGGATTGCGGCGTGACCATCCCCCCTGGGGGGTGATTTCTCGCTTTCTGTCTCTATGTCTCTCTCTGTCTGTCTGGCGAGCGCACGCGCCCTACAGTGAAAATCTCTCTCAAAAAAAAAAAAAAAGAATTGTTGAGTCAAGAAGCAATTATACTTTGGCTAGATAATGCCAAACCATCTTTTAAAAATGTGTGAATTCACATTTCCATTACTTGTGCATTCGGAGTGCATGTTTTTTCCTTCTCTCATTAGCACTTAACACTATCTTTAAATTTTTAGAAAATCTTAGTACAAGTTGAAATTATTGTTTTAAATTTTCATTCTGTTAATAATGAATGAGACTGAGCATATTTTAATATTTTTAGCGGCCATTGATAGTCTTTCAAAAATTGCTTATTCATAACATTTGTCACCTTTTAAATGTAAAAATTTGATGTGTTAGGAACTCTTTC